TTGTTTTTGTTATTTTTAAATGAAGTATTAATAACATTGTTGGTAGAGCCTCTGTCATCTCATTAACTCCACGTTTACTTTCCCTCTCTGCATGCAGCAGGTTTAAAGGTTGTCCTGAATGAAATGGCAGAAGGGTACGACTGGTTCACCAACCAAAGAAAATCTCCACCTGCTTCCTCTTCCCCTCTTTCATGTCACGACAGCAGCTCCATCCAAAAATGTCTGCCAGTGAAAACTCTGCAGCCTTTCTCGAATGATGGTAAAATTAAGGATGACGAAGACTCCGGGGGCCGTCAGGTGAACGAGGGTCCTTCGCCTCATTTGTATGAGGAACTTTTCTGTGCTGGTCAAACTTCCATCCCTCTGGGCCGTCTGGCCAGTGCCCTCATGACCTCGTCTGGGCTGCAGACTGATGTGGTGAAACAAGGTTACCTGGGGAAGCTGGAGCGGAACCACAAGAGATATTTTGTCCTCAGAGCAGGAAGTCACACCGGGCCAAGCCGACTCGAGTGGTACAAGAGCCAGGAGAAGTTCATGGCAAAGGAGAAGTCTTCTGGCAAAGCTGCGCTGTTTGGGTCGAGCAAACAAGGGTCGGTAAAAGTGACTTTATACGTGAAGCCTTTAACCGAGGCTCGTAGTTTCTATTAAGTCACATTAAGTGGTACAAAATTATTATACTAGTGTATTTGTTTGTTGTAATACAGCACCCTCAAACTGATGTTTTTAGTAGTTTCTTTATAAATCTCTAAATAATAATACAGTTAAAAATATTTCAACTATTAGCAGGTAGTCCTAAATTTAAAAAGTATGACACTCAAAGCATGTGTCCAAAAATAGGTGTGTTTGTAGAGGGTTTATAGGATGTGTGTCTTTCATTTTCATCTGAAGAAGCATTAAAATCGAACTATTTAACTCCCAGAGTGATTTACTTGCGCTGCTGTCTTGGCGTGAGCCGGATTGCCAGTTCCCGGAAAGGCCACAGTGTGGCGTTGTATCCCAAGGATCAGACCATGGTGCTGGTGATGGAGGACCAGAAGGAGCAGGAGGATTGGTATGTAGCCCTTAAGAAACTGATGGAGGAAGAGCAAAACGATGAAGAGTATGGCGAAGGAGCTGATGAAGACGATGATGGCTATTGCACTCTGCCCCCTGCTGCTTTCTTTAAAGAGGTTAGAGCACTTTTCGGTTGTAGTTAAGATCATAAACAGTTGATTAAATATACTGACTTTAATAACATCTTGATCAAAGCGAGTAGCTTCCCTGATACTCAGAATCAATCAGAAATAGTAAATATGACAACCTTATTCTCAATATTACACATTTATGCCACACAAGTGCTGTACCTCCTTCAACAAGAAACCTAATCTAATGATTAAACATAAAAGGACTGTGCAGAATTCGTATTTTCATCAGATGGCTGCTTTGACACCCTCAGCTAATTCAAAATAATAATAAAAACCTCCCAGCTGTCTTTCTCCAACCTGTTTCTTTCACCTTGTCAAAGGTTTGGCCCATTACGGTGAAGCCCAGAGGTCTGGGTAGCTCCAAGTCCCTCACTGGTGAGAATCGGCTCTGCCTCACAGCAACATCTCTGATCTTGGTGAGAGTGGGTGCAGGAAATGATTTGCCATCCGTCACGATACCTTTGTTGAGCGTTCGCCGCTTTGGCCACTTGGAGGGCTTGTTCTACTTGGAGCTTGGCAGGTCTGCACCAAATGGTCCTGGAGAGATTTGGATGGAAACAAACGACCAAGGTAATGAAACAAACAAAAAATGTTGTGTTGAGGCCCGACTGGATAAAAGGAAAGAGTGTGAGTCATCCTGGTGTATATGTGCTTTACAGGAAACAGAATACTGGCCCAGCATATTCACGAGGCAGTTCGGGAGGCAGTTCGGGCACTACGAGTTCTTCCAGATTTGAGCTGCTCTCCAGTCTCCAGTCAGAGTCAGAATAAAGGCCTTCTGGCCTCGAAACGCTGCAGACCTAAATACAGAAACAGAATGGTAAATGTAAGAGCACAGCGCCCCTTAGTCTTGTTCCCCAGAAGTCCTGACATACAGACTAGTCCTGCACAGTCTTGTGTAAAGCCCCTCGAACCAGACGAAACAAATCCTGAATCATCTCCAAGCTCGAGCTTTAATTTCAGCCCTTGCAGATCTCAGAATAGATCCATTTCTGAAACTTGGAGTGACATGGAAATGAAGATGGACCAATGCGATGCCGCAGCCTGCGAGATGCAGGAGTCCATTGACGACAGGGAGGGACTGGGATACATGATCATGTCCCCTCATGTTAGCCGCAGCTCATCTGTGTTATCTCATGATGACTATGTTACCATGGCAAGCCCACATAAAAATAGCCAACCAGCTTACTCGTCATCCTCTGCGTCTCTGCAGACATCATTCATCAGGCAAGTCTTTTTCTTACCTATATTGGTACTAGTAGAATATCTGATCTTGAAACAATGGCTGAAATACTTTTGACAGAGGGTACCGCAAATAAAATGTCAGAATTGATCAACATGTTTTTGGTTAACCTTGGCTGCCAGTTGTGTAATTTCTAGAGTAAAACTTTTGTCGTTTTAGCTCCTCCTCTGACAGCAGCTCTCCCCTGGACCCGCCTCATCATCTGACCAATGAGCACAGTCGGCCACACTGGCTGATGACACCAGCCCAACAGTCAAAAATGGATGCTGACCAATCACAGATGAGCATCAGTTGCTCCACTGAACCACAAGTTGATGCAAAGCAGGAAGGCAGTAAAAGCTCAGCACAGACTGGAGTCACTTCTCCTTCAGGGAGCATTGATGGGTCTGACCTGAAAAGTCCATTTGTCCCATTTGGATCAGGCTGCAGTGGGCCGATCCAGGCTAGTTTCCACTTGGATACAGATCAGTCTAGTCAATTCCAAGCTGTACCAGACCAGTCTAGTATTAGAAGATGCTGGCTGTCATTGCTCCTGCCTGCTTGCCTTCAAGCTGAGGACGCATCCTGAGTGTTTGTAATGATTTAATGTTTTGTTTGAATCTCAGTGTAAAGAAAAGCTAAGTATTTATAGGTCACTTTACAAATGAAAAACTTGAAAATGAAAATAAATATTTCAGTGAGATTGTTGCTGACACTTGTTGCACTTGATCACTTGCAGTCGTTGCACATGAAAAGAGAAGCTGGGACTAATGTCTTTACACAGTTTAGTAATGAGTATACTTTAGAGAAAAATAAAGTTGTTGTTTTACAGTTTGTCTGTAAAAGCGCACAGTGTGCCTCTTTTTGTCAGTGGGTGTTGTTTGGGGGGGTTTCTTCTGCTTGGAGTCTTGTTGTTTCGTGGAGAAAAAAATTGTTAAATAAAATGACATAAAATGAGTTTTTCTAAAAGTTTTTCTTCCCCTGTTTGGTAAAAATTGTAAATGCCAGTTGATAAAATGCAAGTGATGCATTATATCTAATCCGTCTGTTAACATGTCACTAACTGTTCTCTAGCAAGACTTTAACACAACATATTAACACTATATTTAAAACTGTAGGGTTGAGTGTAGCTTAAGTCTTCATGTGAGGCCGGTGACTGTTAAGCTTATTTCTAGCTTCAAAATAGATTTTTAATATGCTACCATGTGGAGGTGGGAATCACCATACATCCCACGATACGATATTATCACAATACTTAACGCACGATACGATATTATTGCAATTTTTTAAAATATTTTGTGATATTCAGATTCTGTACATAAAGGTAAACTTTATCAATATTCATTTT